TAGTATCCGGATCTTGATAATGGGTCATATTTCTCCCTAAAAGATGGCATAGCAGAAGAAAATGTGAACGTTTCTTTGAACACTGTTTTTATCCCCCCCTTGTTACTTATTCGCCTATCTCTTTGAGAGAAGACATGACGTCATAAATCGGACATGGGAAAAGGTCTCAGTCTGTTTATCTTTGACTAAATGGTCTCCGTCTGAAAATGTATTCCTTAGTAGAGAGATATTATTCTCAATTAGGTCCAAAGGATAATTATTTTCCAGGAATATATTTGTCAGCCGTTCCGACTCTTTAGTCAAATATTTTCTATCCCCTAGCCTTATACTTCTAACAAGCATTGACATCTACTTCAAAGTTATTCCCCATTTATGGGAATATAGGGATATTTATCTGTAAACCTCAAAGAACCTTGTACCAATTAGTTATTGGAATAGAATGCATAATGTTTGCCTTTTTATGAGCAATATCATAGTTTATAAATTTCCAAACATGTTGGACCCAGGCTAGTTCGATCCACAATTGTGTTTTTCTTTTGACACACTGTAAATAAGACTTGAGGTTCTGATTCTGAGGCGCCAAGAGATGAGCTCTTAAACTCGATTATAAAAGCATAACTAATCTTAGCTGAGATATCATAGATGGATTGAGTTAACGATTTGAAATGTTTAATTTTTCTTATTTATGTACATACCGTAAATTATTTTATGTGTTCTGCAGCTTCTTGCAAGACATCATTTTCCAAACTCCCTGTTTATCTTAATCCTAGCAAAGTCGTAATTTCAAAGTTTCCTCCGCGCTATCTTTTCTTGTAAAATATCCTGTACAAATAAGATTAGACAAAGGTAAATACAGCTCGTTAAAGTAAATAAATAATTTGTAAAACTACCTTTTAAGGCCTTTATTTCGCTTAGGTGAAGCCCCCCTCTTATATGGATAGTATATACATAGTTTATATTTAGATGCAAGATAATTTGTAAATCACTTCATGCCTACATTCAAAGAGAGGTGGTACAATAAAATCAAACAAATCCGTACTCTGCTTCAAAAAGCTCAATATACTTGGTTAAACTCTTACTTTGGGTTACGCTTCCCAGAATTCTTTATTAATTTACATTTATAAATTTGCAACTTTTGCCTGCCTAAGACTTGCTCTACTTTAACTAAGATATGGGCTTCATATGACCTTTATAGGGCCCCAAAAATGAATCCCTAAAATCTCTGGCTGGGATTTTAAAAGCATTTGGCGATAAAAGCCGAATAACGGGATTTTATATACTTTCCAGTAAATGCAAACTGGTTTTGTTTTGAAAAACTGTCTCAAGGCTTAAGGCATTGGCTGAGTGGTGATTTTTCCAAAAGAATGACTCTTTATCTCTACTCTATAATGTTAAAAAATTGCTCTTTTTTCTAAAGCCTTCTTTATATGTTTGGGCCAATCTTATCTCCTTTTAGTCGATTACCCGATCTGGCCATGCCATGACAACATCCACTTTAATGACTCGGCCAGTGTGCAGCCTCTGGGCTCGTCATCAAACTCACCAGACTTCAACTCGCCTTGCTACGTTTCCCGAAATCTGGCTCATCTGCTCACGACGGATGATTTGCCGAAATCTGGGGACGAGCATAATGGTCTGGTGATGGCTGTCTCATATAACAGGCAGAACCGTGGAATTTTCGAAGGGCGTATCGATAATTTGGTTGCTTCGCCGTCCGCCAATCGTCCAGAAAAGCGAGAAAGACGGACTTTTCGGCCTTCGGAAGTCGTAGTCCCTAGGTCTTCGGAAGATTTTACTCTCCCTACATTTCAAGCTAATAGTCTGAAGAGGAATTCACAGTCAATACTTCCACCCTTGCCTCGGCCATCACTGGTAGCCTCATTGTCTTCAATAAGGACTCCCGATCGCCTACTGTCCAATAGATCAGCCCCTCGATACTCATATCCTTCGGAGGAGGCCTCCCATTCTGTCATCAGATGTAGTAATAAATGCGACAGCGACAATGTCGAAACATCTGGTCCATTTTTGCCTGCTCTACATGCTCCTGCTGGTCTGAACAAGGCTACCAGGCAGCGCCTAGCAAAATTGCTCCAACAAAAGCGCTTGAACAACTCAAGA